TTTTTAATAATTCTAGATAATTAAGTATCAAATAATAATAATTCAAATATATTTAGATAACAATTTCTTATTATAATTAAAACGGTTTTATGTACTTGTATTTGGTGCCTACAAGAATCAAGTAGTAAAGGTAAACCAGTTAGTCAGTTAACGCATGTAAAACATATAAAAAAACAGAAAAAATATTGGTCTAATCTAGATAATATGCCTATACTATAGTGATGACTAAACACTCCTATTTCTCATATTCCAATAGTATCATCATCTGCTACTATTGTAAATCCATTATCTACATCTCCGTTATCGTTACCTACTAATGTTTCAATACTATGTCAAGCAAATTAAAATAATGGAAATCAAGATCATAATAATGAAAACGTTATAAGTGAAGAAATAGTAATACAAAATTATATGATGTCTGATAAAGAAGATCAACTCGAGATATTGGAGGATGAAGAAGAAAGTGATGAGGGAAACCAAAGCAGTTATATAATGTCTGATGAATTGTTTAATGAAGATCAACTTGAAGTATTGGAAGATAAAGAGAAAGATGATGAAGGCAATCAAGACAGTCATATAATATATGATGAACTATTTAATGAGGATCAACTTGAAGTATTGGAAGATGAAGAAGATGATGATGAAGGTAGTTATTTAATATTTGATGAACTCTTTAATGAATATCAATTCGAGATATTGGAAGAAGAAGAAGATGATGATGATGAAGAATATGAAAAAGATAATAATGATGATAATGATAGCGATGATGAGAATAATGAAGAAATTAATGAGGAAAATGAGAATCATGAATATAATGATGAAATTTCAGAAGATTTAATCAAAGGTTTACGGCTTCTCCAAATTAAGGATAGATATAACATCTCAGATGCTGCATTTAACGAAATTCTTAAAGTTTTAGAAATTCCTGAAACATCTATTTACAAACTTAGAAAGTTTCTTGGAAAAATTATCCCATTGGAACTGAATCTTATAGATTGTTGTGTCAACTCATATATAGCATTTACTGGGGAGCTTTCTAATGAGAACCAATGTCTAGAATGTAAAGAAAATCATTCAGGTCTAATCTGATCGTAAGAAAAAGTGCTGCATACTGGTCACCTATAAATTCACTTCAAGAACAATATAAAGATAAAGATCGTATTAATACTCTTCTTTACCAACATAATTATATATCAACAGATAAATATAATTCTGATAATTATATAGGTAATATATTCGATGATATTTGTTATAAAACTTTAGTTTCTTTAGGATTCTTTTTAGACTATCGGGATATTGTTTTGATAGCATATACAGATGGATATCAAATATTTCATCATAAATGAGATGACTGCTAGATTGTTCTTTTAATAAATGCAAACTTACCATCTTCTATACGTATTCAATGTGAAAATTTGATGATTTCTGTACTTATTCCAGGACCAAAAGCTCCAAAGAATTTTAATTTTTTTTTACGACCACTAGTTGATGAGTTAAAGCAATTACAAGGTAATATTACTATTAATTTGGTTATTTATTTATTATATATTGTATATTATCTACTTATTTGTTATAATAAATATAGAAGGTGTCCAATGCTTTAATAGCATGACTGAAAGTACATTTACTCTTTGTGCATACATTCTAAGTTAGTCTGGTGATATCCCTACACTCGCTAAGGTTATGTATATAACTGGATATAATTCATATAAGGCTTGCCGATTTTGCTCAATTCGTGAAGTAATTCATCAAGAAAATCATCATATCTACTTTCCACTCAAGCCTCCAACTAGTATTTCAGATATTCAGTATAATTCCAAAAACCTTCTATTACAAATACATAAAAATTATATACAAGATGTTACAACCATAGAAAATATGAATGGATCATCACGTAAATGCAAAATGTGAACGAGAGGTAAGTTAATAGTATTGAAAATAACATTAAAAAATAATTATTAAATTATAATTTTAATAATTTATCTGTTTCCTTAGGCATAAATGGTTGAAGCATATTATTTGAACTCAAATCAATTAAGTTTCTGATGTCATTTCCTATTGACATCATGCATGGATTATTTGAAAATATTGCACCAGCAATGATTCGGCATTGGTCTGGTACTTTCTTTAAAGAAGGTTAAGATTCTAATACAGAATATATTCTTCCTAATAGTGCTTGGATAGAAATCGGAAAAACAATGAAAAAAAATCAAAAAAACATACCAATGGATTTTGATCATCCACTTATTGATATTTGGAAATACTCAGCTTCATTTAAGGCAGAAGACTGGTCAAATTGGATAATACTATACTCGCTTCCACTCTTACAAAATTATCTTCCAGAAAGGTATGTTTATAAAATGTTAAATAGTCACTAATTTATTGAATTATATCTTAACATTTTTGAAATAATTTAGGATTTTAAATGGATGGACAAAATTTGTATACACGGTTAAACTCTATCTTAAGCAAAATATCAGTACATCAGAGCTAACACAAATTGGCCAACTATTCTATGATTTTGTTATACATTATGAAAGGTACTGTATGTCTTTATAAAGCAAATTCTTGTTACAATATTTTTTACTTAGATTAAATTATTTTATTTTACCAGAGAATATCTTCAGAATAACCCTAGTCGTCTCCTGGTAATACTTATTTCTTATCACTATTTGCTACACATCTCTGCTTTTATTTATAATACTGGACCTGCATAGGCAACTTGGCAATATCTGATAGAAAGGTTATGTAGAATACTATTACCTCTGGTGTGCTCTAAATAGCATTCTTATACAAATATTCAGAATCAAATTACTATGTGGACTCATTTTTCGTATCTTCAGTATAAGACTGAAGTAAATCATAGAATTTTTAGAAAAGAACTAGAGAAAATATCGAATTATTCTGAAAGCTGCATTTTTGCAATTAAGGGTGTTGAAGAAGAGTTGTACTTACTATCACACAAATATTGTATAAATAGAACTGAAACACAACGTCTCAGAACTTATTATATGACAGCATTAAATAAAGGGCAAATTAACTTATAGTAAGTTTTCTATTTTGTCTTAATTCAGATATTTCTAATTTTCTAACACTTTTTAAAGTTATTTACAGGTTTCATACATAAGTATGAAAAACTCTGTACAAAATATAGGCTGATAGTTAATTCAAAACTATCAAATTGCAAGAGTGATGTTGCTCGTATGAATTTCTGCATTACTGTATATACATCTTTAATACCATGATTTTCCCAAGAATTTACCATTTAATACTAGCTTTTTAGGCCAAACTCATGGTTGATCAAAATGCTCATCATAAAAATGCTCTGATTATCATGGATGAACGTGAATTTTTTGGAGAGATTTAATATTTTTTTTCACACTAATACAATTACAACTGGTCTATGCTAGCCTATATACAATAGGTACAAAATCTCCAGCCTTCTGAACATGATCTATTGAAGTTTTAGAATCTTGGTGCATTTGAAGTAATTAATATTAGTGCAATTTGTAAAAGTGTTGGATTTCTCAAAATGCCAAAAAATAAGAATTATATCATCAATCGAGAAAATCAGATTAGATTCTGATAATTTTCATTATTACATTTGTATATATTTTTATCATGATTTGTTATAATTCATGTTAAAATAATATTTCATTTTTAATTGCGAAATTACCAGTAATTTGATAGGTCCGTTTGAATTCTATTTTCCTATAAATGACATTATAAAAAAATGGATTAATTATTTCATTTTTATTTATAAAATTGTCAGTAATTTAATATGTCTGTTTAAATTCCAGTTTTCTAGACTGATTATTCCATTTTATTTGTGAATTAAAAAATAGGCTGATTATTCTGTTTTTTTTTCTATAAATAACATTATGAAAAACAGATTGATTATTCCATTTTTATTTGTAAAATTTTCAGTGATTTAATAGGTCCATTTAAATTCCATTTTTCTATAAATGATATTGTAGAAAAATTACAGACTACTTACTTAACTAGTTGAGGTATACTGAACATTTACAGATTCATAAGTACAATTATAGGTATAAAATGGAAATATTTCAAAGTGTATTTTTTATAGGGTGGTATTATCATTCCTTAAGGATGATAGTATTATCATACCTAAGAAATGATAGTATTATTATTCTTAAGATATGATGATTTTATCATTTCTAAGATACAATAGTATTATCGTTCCTTAGGGACAATGGTATTATTGCTTCTTAGGTACAACGATTTTATCATTTCTTAGGGATGATAGTTTTATTATTCCTTAGGTAAGATGCATTTATCGTTCTTAAGGAATGATTGTTTATCATACTTAAGAAATGATGATATTATCATTCCTTAGGTATAATAGTTTTATTGTATTTAAGGAATGATGTATTATCATTCCTTAGGGATGATGATTTTATCGTTCTTAAGAATCATTTCTTAGAGACGATAGTTTTATTATTCCTAAGGTATGATAGTATTATTATTTCAATGAACTAAACTTTTGGATTAAACCAATTTGCTAAAATAATATTGATTTAATGTATTATTTGAGTTTTTTTTCTGGTATATATATAAATAAGCTTAATTTTTTAACTTTTAAAAAATAATTTCAATCATTTTCAAATTTTTTCTTTTTATATTTCACCAAAATCCTGAAAAAAAAATTGTCTCAGGAACAAAAAGACCTAAGTTGAATTTTAGTCAATTTTCACCTTCAACTATCAAAATCGGACGAAAAAAAAGCTGTATTTTAGTCAACTTTTCAAAAATAAACTGACTTTTTTTACTTTTATAATAAAAATATGCCTCTGACCATCAAAATCAGATGAAACTTAAGTTGAATTTTTGTGATTTTTTTACTTTTTATAATAGAAATATGCCTCTAATCATTAAAATCAGATGAAAATTATGTTGAATTTTAGTCAAATTTTTTGATTTTTTTTTGCTTTTTATAATAGAAACATATTTCTAACCATCAAAATCGGACGAAACTTAAGTTGAATTTTATCAATTTTTCTGATTTTTTTTCTGATTTTTATAATAGAAATATGCCTCCAACTATCAAATCAGACGAAAATTATGTTGAATTTTTCTGATTTTTTTACTTTTTATAACAGAAACATGCCTTCAACTATCAAATCAGATGAA